AAGATTTTAGTCTATATTGTCTACGACGTGTAACACATGACCGTTTTAGTCTTAGAAAAATTTGATTTTGATTTTACAAAAGTGCCGGTATAGAATATTTTATACGTGTACCGCTACATAATGAAAGAGAGCAAAACTAATATGCGAAAAAATAAAGCGCGTTAAGATAAGAAGATAAGAGTCGAAACAGCGCAGTGTTACCGGTTTTAAAAACTGTCGTAACGGAGCATGAAGGATGCACTCTCTGCCATACCCTCACATGTATAAAAAAAAACCTAACCTGAGCTGTATGCGCATTGCGTTCGTTTCTGTTTTTTTTAATTCGGTGATTACATCAAGTAAAAATCTGGTGGGAGAAAGGTATTCTTTGCTGAGGTTTCGAGGAAAAACTACGTAACTTGCGTGCGGCATTTTTGAGATAGTGTAAAGGGAAATTCTTCGCCAAGCCTTCAAGGTGAAACTATGTTCTAACCTGGGCCATATTTTTGGAGTTAAAAATGATTTACGAATCGCGTAGTCGCACGTGGAAGTTATTTACTGAAATTCTAAATGGCAACTGTACCTTAGTCTCGACGAAATTATTGTCGTGAGGGCGCTATCAATTAATTGGAATTTCGTCGCGTGACGGCTGATTTAGATTCAACGGCAAATACAGTGCGAATATGCTACTTTCTTAGTACGGACGTGAACATTTGCAGGTTATTGCATTATCGAATTAGCGTACTCGCGTTTGAATAATTTGTTACCATGAAAGCGTTGGAGTCCAAGGTGCAGTACTTCTCTTGGGTATACGGGGTATTAGCAGAGTTCACATTAAACGGCAACCGGTAAATAGTTTAAAAACAAATAATTTGTGCTTTTGCTAGCTGTTAAAGTCAGAGTTATTATGATAATTTATTTTTTGACATTTACTTTCAATGAACAGTCTAGGCGATACAAAAGTTCCGATTGTATTGTTTATTTTGCAGTCGTAGTTATCAAAGGGTGAAGCGTCGTGTGTGATTTTGTGAATAAGTGGTAAATTACTCTCCGTTGAGTTGATTTATAGCCGTCAAGTAATCTGATTGATTATGTAAAATAAGTGTACTGGTGGAAATAGTTTGCGTCGAGATGGATTTCAATCAAAAAAGGAAAGTAGTAGGAAGGAGGTGGGAGGATCGTCAGGCAAGGCGCGTTGATCCGTGAGCGAAGTTGGTTGAATCACCTGTAAATTACCGCAGTGCGGTTAGAAATAATACAGGGCTAACTTTTATATATTTATTTTTTATTTATGTCTGACTTTTATTTTTAAGTGGGCGGGGTTTCAGCCACTGCTTTACCAACCCAACCCCCCATACATTTACAAATGTCCATGTCCGAATCCGGATTCGAACCAGGGACCGAGGTCGAGTTTCATCTCCACTGCGCCACACCGCCACACGGGTCAGCTATTTGTGAGACATCCTAATAATCGAGAGCGTGTATTACTTCCGGACAAATTTCGTGCTAATACGGTAGTGAAATTAAGTATGCATAAAACAAATGCGAAAGATTTAAACGGGAATACAAGTTCTGGTGATCTTAAATTTCGAGACATAATTTACGACTTAGAAACTATTACGGTAAATGCGAGCAATAGCGGAAGTCTGAAACGCAAAACATTAAAATTGTTTGACCTTAAAGTTACATTCCCAAATCAAGGATCTTGTTGCGATACCGACAACAGCGTAAAATTCGACGCGCGAAATTAAATTCGGAGACCCTCGAAGCATGGATTTATAACATAATATAATTATTCGGCACTGCTGAAGCGGTCGGTTGATTTTTATACGGCATTGACATTTCACATTTACCGTCCATAAACCACTGATCAAAGGTGCCATTCATTATACGAGACCTGGAAATTTGAATCGCCTGTCTTTTTGAAGAGTTGGATCAATCAGTATTTCGAGTTTGAACGAACAAGATACATCGCCATTCATATTGCTGTATGATTAATTAATAATAATTAATAATTAAGGTATTAATTAATTAATCATGAAGGTCTTGTATTGAAATTAGTAATAAAAGAGGGGGTGTTTCTAATTTAGATTTTTTATCAGTTAAATAGTAATCGAAAACTCTTATAGTTACTAATGATACAAGTTCAATCTGAACATCATAATGAAACGCGTGGGCGCAGTACCTAAACAAGTTAAAAAGTAATCGTAAACGATTTACATAAAGCGCATTTCCACTTGCATTCATTTCCCATTATTGTAAGATGCAACTTCTATTAAAATCGTAAAAATCCGGCCGCAAATATGAAAGATAGCGTTGCACATGGGTAATCCATTTTTGACGTGCTACTTCAATTTCAGTTTATGAGAAGTGCCTATGTATCAAATTTCGTTTAAATTCTTCCATAAATAAAAAAGTTGGCACTGCGCATGCGCAAAACCAAATTTTGAAATTGGCGTTTGTTTTCCTTTATTCGAAGTGCTTATGTATCAAATTTCGTTTAAATTCTTCCATAAATAAAAAAGTTGGCACTGCGCATGCGCAAAACCAAATTTTGAAAGTGGCGTTTGATTTTCCTTTATCCCAAGTGCCTATGTATCAAATTTCGTTTAAATTCTTCCATAAATAAAAAAGTTGGCACTGCGCATGCGCACAACCAAATTTTGAAATTGGCGTTTGATTTTCCTTTATTCCAAGTGCTTATGTATCAAATTTCGTTTAAATTCTTCCATAAATAAAAAAGTTGGCACTGCGCATGCGCAAAACCAAATTTTGAAATTGGTGTTTGATTTTCCTTTATTTCAAGTGCCTATGTATCAAATTTCATGCAAATACTTTTATAAGTAAAAAAGTTTGCAATTCGGTTTATAAATGGTCGAGATGCGAAAAGGGCACTGTGAATTTTGAATCGATTCGATTCAACTTTTGGCATTGCGTATTATATGGCTAAAGCTATGCCCATATTGAATTTCATGCAATTCAGTTCATAACTAACGGAGATGTAAAAGCGATCGAACATTTCTAAACAAAGTTATCGTTCACACGGACAGATAGATGGACAGACAGACAAAGGAACAGACGGACAGACCAACAGGCAGACGACAGATAGCAATGCAAAATTATAAACGATCTCTAGGATCGTTAATAAACGGCAAAAGTGTAAAATTATGGAACATGTAAAAAACGGTTTTTTGTTTTTTTTACAATAACTTTTTTTGTAAGCGGTACAGAAAAAATTCCTTCCTTGGTACAAGACTCGACACCATAACGAACCCAATAGCGAAAAAAGTAGAACAATAGCTCTTAAGATAAAGAACTAGTAGCGTCGCAAAACGAGCGGACGGACGGACGGACAGCCGGACGGACGGACGGACAAAGTGGCCACAATAGCGCATTTTTTTTTATTTTTGTGGAAATGCGCTAAAAATACCGGGACAAACGCGGGAAGTTTCATGAAATTCTGATCACTTCTATTATCCGGCCAAGAAATTTATTTTTAAAGTTCTGCGTGCGCCCAAATCTCTTCGGTCCTGTTTAGCGATGTGCCATCATGGGGTAGCAAAATGGGAATTGGCATTGGCCCATCGTGTTGATCGGATTTTTGCGTGTACCTAACTACCCCCAATTAAATTTCGTCGCTGCACTCTATGTGCGAAACGGCATAAATTGCGTCTGTCAAATTATCCCCCGTCATAATATACCGTCCAATATTTACTTCGTATGCGTAAAGTGAGAGAATAAAAAGGGCCAGAGTGCGATGCGACCATGTCATAATTGATATTCTCGACCGGCTTACAAATCCAAACAACAATACGTTTGGCTGGTATTGGAGATTAGCATAGAAGAGGCATATTATAATAAATCTAACAGAATGTGACATACACGGATATGGAAAGTGTGAACAGTCAGCTGCCGCCTCTGGCAGGGATTTGACCAGGGGGGTTCTTTGTGTGTTAACTGCAGGGGCGAGCCCTTGGGCGGGATTTTACATAAGTATAGTGCGCCTTATTTAAACCCAACATTACCAACCCTACACGTTTCATTTAAAAATAAGATACAATTAAATATAGGTACCGACCGACCAGTATTGCCAATTAATTAATTGTATTGGCTAAGAGTGAAATGCAATTTTTATGTAAGCCTTGAGTGTCAAAAAAAAAGAAACATTACCGTTACTTTTTGTTGGCCATGACATCGTATGTGAGTTACTGGTTTTTTTTTCGTGTAGAATTTTGATACAAATGAATATAAAGTACGGTCAAGAAAAAAGCCGCTTCTAAAGGATTATGATAAATTAACTTCGGACGATTCCACGTGGATTCCTGGCATTGTATTCAGAAGCGTTAGGTCCATTCGGTTTACTTTTCACATTATAATTTATGGCATTCAACATTTATAATTCACTCTCCTACATTTTCTAAATTAATAAATAATATAGACGATATAGGTACGCTGTACTATAAACGGTTTTGTCTGTTTTCATGCAGGGACAGCCGATTGTTGCTATATATCACTCGCAAAGCAAATCGCATCACTAGCAAAAAGTCACAAATCAAAGGTAATCTTTTTAGTCATCTTTAGGCTGTCGGTGCTACTATAAAAATAGAGGTGTTTACTACTCCTCCTGATTCTGCGAGAAACTATAATGTGCTTATTACCTACTCGGGTGGAAAGACTGGAACTCTGCTGAACATAACTTATTAGAACTTTTTGATACTGATCTAAAAATAAGAAGCATTTCAAAAGATTTAAAGAAGATTCCAGCAGGTTTCAAGCATTTTGAGAGTAAATTTTAAGATGTTAATAAAAATAACAGGACTTGAGGAGGTATTGCGGGCAGATTCTGCGAATGATTTTAAAGAACCCAAATTCTAATACTACTTTCGTAGAGCTTTTTGAACTATTCTCTAAAAATGCATGGAAATGCCAATAATTTTGAGATTCAAATGATTCGAAGTTTTCATGAAAATTCTGTAACCAATTTAAGTTTCCTATATTTTAATGAAAAAAATACTCCTTAAAACTGCAGAAATTGTAAAGCGATATTAAGATGTAAATTAGAAGATTTCGGGTAGATTTTAAAGCGTTATCAGGAAGATTATAAGGAATTTTAAGGACTATTATTAGGATAGATTAAATTTTCCAGAAAAATTGAAAAATTATAAGAAATTTCAAGCAAGGAAGACTATTTCAGCAGAATTTTTCGGGAATGAGTATTATATGAAGGTCCCTAAAGGATTTACAAAGTCATCAATATACCACCAATAATTTTTAAATGTTAACGAACTATAATTGTACCTACTTATTACTACAATACATAATGCGTTTCTATTTTTTAGCATTATTTCCTCTCCTAAGAGAAGTATGTATACGCATCTTCTTCGAGCGACAACATGACATCTTCGGTACTTCGTCTTGAAATATTCACATTTGAAGTTTTGACCCCACCAACCGCGTCTTCCTCTTTCCGTTTGTGGTTTTTCGAAGCCTTCGTTCTCTATATATTTGTTTTCATTTCCTACTTCCTAATTCTTTAGTTAGAAAAATAAACAAAATTTTTGAGCGATAAGCGCAACTCTTATCTACAACTGGAGAAAAACATGAGATAAACTTTTCAAATATTTCGCAAATAATTTCGGGACGTTCCTTACCCTATGACACACAAATTCTTTAGAATTACAGAAACTAATTACAATGAGGCTATAAAAACAAACATCAATCGTCGTCTAAACTACGTAAATTAACATTTTTCCCTCCTAAATTGAACTGATTGAAATTAACCTCAATAAACACAACACAACTTAGCAATAATCCATCGGTGGCATCTGGACCTCCGCCGCACTCACTTCAATTCTATTTTCATCGTGTATTTGTTTAAACCTCTTTTTCCTTCTCCTCATTCATTTGCTTCTCTGCCACATGTAACTCTTCTCTCCCTGTTACTTTTATTAATAAATTATCTTCTAATTTGCACCTTCAAAGCCGCTGCTTTTCAATTGTTTCCTGTCCTAATGTCTGTAATTCTTCCGCTTCTTGGTTCTCTCTTATCCTTTCCATCGAAAACAAACATATTTTCTTCTATTGGATTTACCAAAATATCATAATCTTTTTCTTAACTCCCTCCCCCCAATCCCTTTCTTGATAAAACATGCAATTAGATTATCCCATGCAGTCTGGGTCTGCCACAATCTAAAGAATGGCTTCGTATTACTTCTTTGATTTCATTTACGCAGCGCAAAGGATTTAAAACAACTTCCAGTAATTGCCGTGGGTCAGATTCCTTTCACGTTACAATTTATCCTCCCGAAAAATGCCGCTCCCTTCAAAAAATATGGACATAGACCGCTGCAACGGTACAGTTGACTTTTTGTACCGTTAACTTCGTGGTGAATGCCAAGGAAAAATGTCCATACGTATTAAGAACTCTAACAAACCATTGTTATTATGCACTGGAATGAAACGTCAATGCTCCGCTTCGTTGATATTAAAATTTTGCCCAGTTAATTATGCTTTATGGTGTGAGTAATTGCACCAATTAATGACGAATGACGTTGTGTACAAAATATTATTTATCGCCCATGTTTTGCACAGCCTTGATAAAACGGCTTTTAACCGTTAGCGA